CGGACTTCCAGCTGCGTTTTGCTAAATGACCAAATAGGATGCTGGGCTGGTGTAACTGGCTTTTTACTCTTGTGTCATAATAGGGCAGGCATTCAGCAGCTTGGATTTAGGTGGTAGCTGACCTCAGTGCTCTTAATGTCAGCTCCTTCTCAGCACAAGACTGCAGTACAATACTTACCTGTAATGCAGCAGCAGTTTGGATCTTTAATTTTTTTTCTTTTTGTTGTTTTTTTTGGAGGTGGGGTGGGGGTGGAGTTTCTCTACCTCCTGTGAAAACAAATTTCTTTTTGTGTTCTCCACCTCCTGAATTGGTACACTGTGCAAATACAGTATTTGGTTTGCACACCGCTCCTGGATTACAGGTTAGAATTGTGATTTTCGTATTTGCCTTCTCAGGGAACAAGTGTGTGCAAGCGAGAACAGCGACATACAAAGTGCCAAGGTGACAAGTGGACCCAGTTACTAAGCACGAATCACAGATGGATTTATGAGAAGCTGCTTCCAGACGTTTCTGTGCATTATTGTAAAGATAATTCAACACGAGCGAACGCTCACGTCTCGTGTTTGCTGTTTTCGCTGCATGTTCTGTATTTTAAATAGCCGCATTCTTGCTTTATGTTCTACAAGCTCTGACTCTTGCCTTTCATTGTAACCCCATTGATCTAGCTGAAAGCCTAGCAAATCCAAAAACCCCTGCTGCCGCTCTTATACTGAGTATTTTTAGTCTTAATCTCACCAACAGGCAAACAGCCACCCCTAAGTGGACTGAATTTCACAGCTCTTGAAGCCATGCAAAACTGTAAATTCATAGCATTGCTTTTTATTGCAAAAAAAGGAACAAAAAGAAAACAAAAAAATAGGGTTGTCACATTGTTTGCCTTGCACTTGTTTCCCTCTTTGCACTCCATAAAATAGCCTCTGGAGCGTTTTTGTGTCCGTAGGCTCGTGCTGTACACCCCCCCCCCATGAGAGGTTAGCACCTGCTGTCAGTATATCAGTAAGGGTGCGATAGAGACAAGGCTGGGGACACAAGCGAAAAAGATATTCATACATTAACAGATGAAAGCTTCTGTTGCTTTTCACCTCCTCACACTCTGACAGGTCTGCTTTTATCTGCCAAAGCTCAAGGCGAGGACGGAGCTGCTTTATGGCGCTTTGCACTTCAAAACTACCTGGTTGGTCTTCCAAGGAGGGCCCCGCTTCCCTGCAGCAGCCACCCATCAGCACCTCACATCCTCTTCTCACGCAGATGCTTACACGCGCTCCACCATTCCACCAAACATTCCTATTTTTCCTTCATTTTTGCCCTCCTCCCCCTAGAGTTAGCCTTTGTTACTCTATGCATAATTCTTTTGGGGATGGGTGCGTTTTCTCTTCCCTCCTGGTGAAAGAGCGCTCCCTTTCTTCTCTTTGACTTTATTGTGTCCAGACAGGGAGTCCCCAGAGCTTTCTTTATTTTTCACACTTGCCCAGATATATACTGTGTTTTCAGGGAGAATTCAGTGTGGATGAATAAGGCTTTGTGAGGTTTGTGCGTGCATGTAAATGAGTAAGTTTTTTTTATAAAGAATGTTTAGTCAACGGGGCTTGGCATGTCTGGGTTTGCTCATGGTTGTGGAGAAGGCTTGGATGGCCGTGTTGCTCCTGTGGTGGTGTTCTACCTCTCCAGGGGCTACTGGGAGAAAAAGAGGATAGACAGAAAGCAAGAGGGGGAATTGTAATTAAAATTTTCAGTCTTGTTAAGTTGGTGACAGCTTGCAATCGATGGCAAGAATCTGCCTCCAATACTAACGAACTAAAAGATCATTGGAGTTTTAGGTGGGCTGGGACCAGTAGAGGGAAAATAATTAAGATATTTATGGCCTCAATTAATCAGTTCACTGAGAAACTTGCTGCAGGAATACAGTACAGTTGGAAACTCTGAGAATGTACCTCAACTATATATTTTCTAAAACTCTAATTAGGAAGCCAGAGCTCCCTGAAGCAGCGAGCAGTATGACCTTATCATCCTTATTTACTCCTGAAATCCTAGTAGAGGCTATGGTTGAGATCCCCGTCCTGATCCATGCTGGTTTCACAAGGATGAAAACAGCAGTTTCGCCATATTACATTATAAAACTCTAATGAGGAAATATGAGCTCCCTTGTGATTCAAACTGCAGCACCCAATTATCCTTACTTACAGCTGCACAGGCTGATACACCCAGGTTAATGGCATAACAGAAGCTCTCCCCAAGGTGCTCAGCACAATGTGAAAGGCTGTGACATAGATCAATACATTATATCAGTGCGTCGACTCGGTTCTGGGGAATTCTCTCCTTCTGAAAATGCTGTAAAAAGATAAAAGAATGAAAGAATGAAAGTGGTGCTTCAAAGGAAAACGTCACATTGACAGAACCTCCCACGCGAAAATGTTTTAAATTTGTGCTCAGCTGGCGAGCGCCATGTTGATATTCTGCCCCTCATCCCGCCACCTGCCCCGGGCTTGTTAACAAGGTGCCCGTGGCAATGATTGCCTGGCCATCAAACTCCCAGCTGATAAGTTCCTCCGGGAGAAGCGGAGCTCTGTCATTGAATTCACCCCTGATCACCTCCTCATGCTGTACATTTGAGATAACGCTCGGCCATACCCGGCCTCGCATCCTTGGTAACGAGCGCTTTATATATGAATTATTCTGTAAAAATCCCCCCAGCATTTTGCAGCTACTTTGTGTAAGTGCGGGATGTATATTATTCGCTGCATTTGATAATTTGTTGACAGGATTTATATGCACAATTACGGTGTTGTAGCCTGTCATCAACATGGTATCCGGCGAGACACCTGTCACTTCCAATGTTGCAAGGCCCAAGAATGAGATTGGCTGAATGATTGAAGCCTGAGTGCAGTGAGGGTGAGGGACACAGTGACAGCACTGTGATTGACACAAATGAGAGAGAGGAGGAGATGATGGAAGGGAGCGAGGAGAGGACGGGATACTAAAACAATAGCAGGTTAAGAGAGTGGATAAAGGGAGATTTACAGATAGATAGGCCGTAGAAGAGACAGGTGGCGAGTGGGAGAGGTGGGAAAAAAGCAGAGGACTGGGTGGGTGGGTGGGGGATGGGGGGGAGGGTGCTCTCTACAGTTCATCAAAAAGGTTTACTTAGAGAAAGAGAGTGCTGGGAGACAGGAAGCTGAGAGGAAGATGAGAGAGGGAAAGGGTGAAAACTATTCCAGGAGGAACATCCCAACTTCAGTCATGCCCCAGTGAATGTGCTGACAGGGTCTGTCTGTGCCACAGCGGAGCAAGTGTCATACATGCAGACACACCACACCACACTGCACAGGGCAAGAGGAAACTGCCACTGCTTAATCCACAACACACAGCATACACAGCATGTGTAAACTTTAAATGCAGTTTTGTAGCATTTGCTGGATTAGCCCACGGGACAACATCACTGCAAAGGACACGCTTTCCACAGTCTGTTCCGTGTTTACTGAGATTACTATTCATGATTTAAAATTGTTGTAGTTTGTCTTCCATGATCCCGAAGAAAGAAAATGACCTCGAGAATGATGTTAAGAACTTGGGATCAAGTGTTTGAAAGATGTGAGAATTTTACCAAGAAGCCGTGAAATGTGGCCGTGATGTCCACGTGGGGTGTCCCCATAGACTCACATGTTCAAACGTCCATTCTTTAATGCAGTCTTGGTCTTTGTAGCCCTGTCTTTAATGTCCGAGTTGGACCAATTCGCTCTGTTTATGCCTTTCTGTCTGTTATTGTTAATGTATAATTAATCCAGTTATAAAGTGATAGAAGTTTTAGCTCCAATTATTGGTTAGAGAAAGTCGAATATTTAGAAGTGTTTTAATAATTTGTTTGTGTTTGTGTGAATCAAATATGGATTTATGGATCCAGCTCGCTAATCTTCCTTACATTGGCTAATAACTAATACCCCCCCCCCCCCCCACACACACACACACACACTCACACAAAACAAAACAAAACAAAAAGACAATCAAACAATAATAATGCTAAAGTGGCACAACTGTGCCGATCTTTTATCTACAGTCTATGGGATTTATTAATCAAAGATGCCTATCGAATTGACACGACTGAATTGCTGTGTCAGAGCGGCATACCAGCAACTAAAATGTTACATCGCTCCCCGCTGCTTTGGTTTTGACCGTTATTCTATCTCACGCGATTTCTCCAACATCTTGAAAGTGTTTTAGCGAATCACTGGCATTTGGAGTTGAATTACACTGTACACATGCTCGTCTGCCTTTGCACGCGTAGTAGCAATAAAAAGGTTTTTATGTTAATGCAATCTGGGAAATAGTCACATTATTGACTTGTCAGATGTGTGGGCTGATGTTACTGAAACACTACTGAAGGGCTCCTGCTCTTATCTTTAAACAAGCACACTGATTGATATCTGACATTTTGATTTGGCGTAGGATTTCCATTTGAGGCTTGAGTGCTTGAGAGACATGCTGAGATTCAGATGTTTACCAACCTTTTAGATCGCTCGGGGCCCGACATGCAACAAAGTGCATCCACGTCTACGGCTTGCATCTGAATTGAAATGTTAACTGACTGATCAAAAGACAGTATCAATCGGGGTAATTAATCACACTTTAATATAACATGAATCTAACTTCATGTCATAGCTGGTCTCCTTCCAGTGCAATCTGAAATCCTTGACAGTTGTTCCCATTAATAAATGCTCAGAGCAATATCTAATAAGAGTTACTCTATCACCTTTCCATATACAATACCGCGGTGATAGCTTTGTCCCTGTCTGTCTCGCGTAAAACATTTCAGTGATTATGAAGCTATAAATTGAATTGCGTTCTTGCCCTAAAAAAGGCCTTTGTGAAATTGTGATTGCTGCACTGTTAAAAGGTCTGTCCTGCCTGTCAGTGACTTCTTCTACCTGTCTGTGCCTCTCCACTTTTAATTAACACAGTGCAATGATTAAAGTTTTAACTTAATTATCTTTATCTTTTCTCTCAGGGTGTTCAACCCTCGGCGGGAAACTGAATGAGACACTTGACGAGAGGAGTGGAGGGAAAAAAAGCAGCGGAGAGAAACTTGGTGAGATAGAGGGAGATATCAGGCAGCTGGAAAAAAAAAAACAAAAAGTAGAGGAGTGACTGACACCTGCCCTCCAGCTCGGTGTGAAGGGCATATAATGGGAGAGTGAGAGGAAGGGCATGAGGAGAGGGAAAGGAGAGGAGAGAATGAAGACAACCGGAAAACAAGGCCTGCCTCAAAGCAAACCTGTCTCCAATTAGGACATCTCACCACAAGACAAGATGATTACGAGAAATTTTCTCTTCTTGGTGTCCTTGTGTCTGTGGGAGGGGCTTGCGAGAGGTGCCTCAGCCAGTAAAATTTTACGGAGGAGAGGAGTGGGCGGATCGCACGTGGTGAAGCTGGGGGAGAGCCGTTCTATGGACGCGAACGTGGATTCGAATGCGATGCCCGTGGTTACTCTTCGAAACCTGATTAGCCACGAGCAGGCGAGCGACGCCGGATCTTTTTCTTACTCCAAGATGTTGCAGAATCATCCTGCCCCATCTGTAGCTAATAAGGAGAGACAAACTTTCAAGCCCAAGCGCGAGGTTGACTCTGTGGCCCCGCGCACATTGGCCGCTAGCAAGGAGTTTACCCAGGATGGGAAGAAAGTCAAAAACAACACCAAGAATGCTGACTCTTCCAAAACAGGGAGGTCAGAGAAAACTTTCACAGTTCATCATAAGCCAGATCTTCACTCTAATAAAACCAAGTTTAAATCTGGCTCCAGGTCCAAAGGCAGGCCTGATTTCAGCGTCCATACTACGGGCGTGCCAGGGAAAGGTTTCAGCATAGACTCGAGCCGAAAGCTGAACCTCACTGGCAGTTACGGGGTGCTGAAGCTGCTCTCAAAAGACAACCTGGTTAGGATTGTCAATTCCCAAATGCAGAGCGTTCCCAGCTTGAGCTTTCCGAGCAAGGGCAGTCGGAGCAGGAAGCGAGATTTGATTGACGTTAATCACGGACAGCTAGAGCCTCAGAAAGTGCCGAGACAAGATATAGCTGTCACTCAGTCTCATGTGGGATATGATAATCAGACTGCATTTCCTTATGCCAGCCCAGTCGCCACTACAGATCTTAATCGGGACCGGGGCCCTGACACTCGTATTAATCCGCTAAGTGAAGTCAAGCCAGCTTTAAGTAAAGGGCAGGACAACTTGGGAAAACAGGGTTCAGATAGCGGCGATAGCAAGAGCAAACACTTTGCTCGTTTCCTGTCAACACCTCGCAGCGAGGTCAGTTTGAGCCCTGAGAAGGAAGTAATGATCAGCCAAACAGAACGGCCATTCACATCGACAAAACATCTCCCGCTGTACGTTCCCTCTGAAACAAATGAGTCTCCTCCGTCTGTGCTGACAATGCAACCCCTGGGAGTGAGACCGGGGAACAGAGCAGCAGAGTCCCGTGGAGACCCATTAACAGAGTCAGCTCACACTGCTCAAACAGATCTCAGCACAGCTCAGTACTCCGCAGATGAAGACAACAAACTTGTCAACAGCAGTCATGTCCTGAGGCTCCACCCTGCTCACGAATGGAGCCGCGTCGGGGAAGACGCCAAGATGCACGGCGCGGATCCCAAAAACGCAAAGGGCCTCGTATTTGAAGAAGCAGAGTCAGAGGTGGAAGAGGAGGAGCGCGATCGCATGGAGGTGAAGGGGTCACGGTCTCGCAGCAGGAGGAGCTGGATCTGGAACCAGTTCTTTGTGATTGAAGAATACGCCGGGCCGGAACCTGTGCTCATTGGCCGGGTAAGGAAAAAACTTCATTCATCATTTACAAGGGCTGTGAACTGTTTTATGAATGTTTTATGGATATTTAAGACACTGTTACAAGTCTCTTACATGGCTTATTTAACCCAAGGTCCTCGTTTCAGTTACACATCTCATACAAGAAATCATTAGCATACTTTAGCCCCATAGTCACGCTCCAAGTTTTTTTTTTTTTTTTTTTTTTTTGTGCATCGTTATAATCTCGCAATTGGAATTGATTTACTTTCCTCCAATATGGTACCTTCCAGGTAGCTGTAAAAACGCCAATGAATCTATGAAGTACCGAGGCGCAACAAAAGCCCCCGATCAGGTGAGCCCAGGGGGCTCGTCATGATCACAACCAATCTACAGCAGCCAATGGGAATTGACATATCCAGGCGAATTAATAGCTTTACTTTTTCCTTCCACCATTGATCCTCCCCGGAAGGCAGAGAGCAAGAGAGTAGTCCGAGTGTTCCCTCATTTCCCTGTAGGTCAGTCCTGTCAGCTATCCTCGCTCTTGGTCTCAGGCCTGCAAGATCCTCCTAATGCTATTTCATTCAGACTGATTTATACTTGCTTTGACAGGATTTATCACCGCATTCACCCTCAGCACAGTCCTATTGCTCAGGTCTGCAATTTATTTAGATCACTGACTGACTGTGTCTTGCCCAGTACACACACACACATACCTCCCCTCTCCCTTTTTTTAAAGAGTGAGCAGACGAGCGTGGAAGAGGTCACGTCGAGTGGACAGAAGGTGTCTCGGAGCCCTGCACTGTAATGGCTGCGCTCTCAGTCCTCAGCATGCGCCAACTGTCTCAGTACCCAGCTGCGGTAGATGAGCTAATTTATAAGCCTGTGTGGCCAGTTTGCTGAGCAAATGAATAGTAATGATCCCCGTGTGACTGTTGTAGGCTGTGAGAAGCCGGTGTGCGTGTTTGTGTGTGTGAGCGCTTCAAGTTCAGAGCTTCAGCTCAGTGGGAGGTGCGTTGAACTGAAAAGACCCACATCACATTGGATCTTTAGGTTTTAATATCCAGGTGCAGGCAGATGGGCAGGACCTCGCGGGCTTTGTGCGCAAGCCTCCCTGATGTTTAGCTAATATTTAATGTGGCTCCTTTTGCTTTGTGCTGTGACTGATGAAGGTCTGAGTGGAATGCTGGGAAGCACTGGAGAAGATGTAAGAGCCAACGGTCCAGCTTACAGATGGCACTGCGTGTAAAGCCATTAGTGCCAATCTGCTGTGTCAAGCAGGTATTTATGCCAGCACATTGTATGGCACTCAAGGAGGGAACAACGCCAGGCCACACACACACACACACACACACACACACACACACACACATGCCCATATGATAGTGCTGACACTTGGAGTACACCCAGAACACTATTGTGACTGTGTATTTGTGTGTACTGGGTTAGAGATGCGTATGATTAGTTCCCTACTGTATGAGACAAGTGGCGGCACACATGTATAATGCTCTTATAGATCTTAATACGCTTATGAATTTTTAATCTCCCGCTCTGGCCCAGTGTAGGCCAGCTCTATAGGTAGAGAGATCAATGCGCGCTTGTCGGGTTTTTTTGTGGGTTTTTTTACCCTATTGAGGGCCTGATTGTGTTTTAATGGAGAAGTGTGAAGAAATTGACTGTGCAGGCCAAAACAGCTCCACCTGCCAGACCTAGCCCAGTCCAAAATCAGGCTCAGTCAGCTGCAAATACTGTTGCCTCTGTTTCAAAACAACGCATCTCGCCTAAAACCAACTATACTGTCCTTACGCAAATCGTGGTCATGTGAAGGTGTTTTTCTGTGGGCTTGTTTTAAAATACGCCTTGCGCCATTGATTCATGTTGGATTTTTGTGTGATCTTGGACAGTTTGTTCCAAATAAATCTCTACTAAAGCTGGAAACTAGAGCCAAGAGTCTAATCTGTGATGTCAATAGGAGACAAAGGCCCTGCTGCTAAACTGATAATGAATTGGTGGTGTGGAGGGGGTGGAGGGGGCAACTCTGTGGACACAGCGCTGGGCGCAGTTTTGAAAGGACATTTATGAGCACTTCCTCTGATTTCAAACTTTCAGAAGCTCTGTCACAAAAAGTGCTAATCTGTTCATCAATCTAAAGAGAATATAAAATGAAGCAGTCTGTGAGCCTCCCACTATCCATCAGCTGTTGCTTGAAATATCTCTGCACTCTCAGAGATGCAAGTTTTTGTTTACTGTAGCATATTGCTTTTGGAGAGTTGTTCAGGTTCACTAGAGTTGCCTAAAAGGGCAAGAGGTTTTCAGCGGTCTGTCTGAGTCAGTTTTCTGCTCTCTACAAACACCCTTTCGCTCTTTATGTCTCTCTTACACCCATGCAGAGCCCTGCACACACACACACACACGGGCATGCACAGGCACACAAAAACACGTGTGCACACTTGCAGACGCTGCCATGTTACTATATTTTCTCACAGTGGAGTGTCTCTGCCCCATGATAATTGTGAATTTAATTGATGCTGTCACATGGTCTGTAATGGGGTTTCAAGTGATTGCAGAGGCTGTGTGAAAGAAACACAGATTTTTCTTGAGGAGAAAAGGCGCCTCAGCAGAGCTGGGATTTAAAAAAAAAAAAAAAAACGCCCCTTTTCTGATTAGCTTTTCTTCTCCCCTTACTCTCTCGCTGCTGAAATGCAAACTCCCTAACACCTCATGCGGGGGGAAAACGTGACATGTACAGCAGCTTCTTCCTCTCTGTTAGGAAATTCCTTCTTGCCCCGTCTTCACCCCGATAACAGCGTAAGCGTATGTGAGACCTGGTGTGTTGGTGAACGTGCATATATAATTCACCAGCGCAACAGGAAGTGGACCTAGGCTATCGTCCTCATTAGCATATCATTTACATCATCATGAGCATACATAATTCATAGTTAGTGAAATATGCTGGTAACACACAATTAACATTGCTGTCTGTACTATACATGGCGCTCACACTAGAGCATGGCAGGAATCTATAACATGTAGGCATCAGTGTGAAATAGTAATTAGATACTTTTAGCTCCTGACATGCTGAACAATACCAGTAATTTCTCATCATTATATTGAATCATTAACATTCACTACTAAAAATTGCTCTGCAAAGTGCATTTAAAAGATTCCCCCTGCCTCAGGGCATCTTAAGATATATAAATAAAACAGTTAGTTACCGACTGTCCTGCTAATGATAAGACCTGAGCCTCTGGGTGCAACATGCGCACACGAGATATTGGAGAAGTGCTTGTAGGAAATCCTCGGTGTGATGCAATGGTGAGAATGAGGTTGTCAGACGAAGTTAATTCTTAGTATGCATGCTTTTTCTCTAATTTTCACTCTTGCAAAGCTTGTTCCTCATTAGCTACAAGTACATTTATTCAGCTGCATGCAGTATTTCTCTTTTATGATAAAACTATACTGCTCAAAAAAATGAAGGAACATTTTGAAAGCACTTTATTTCTCCATAGAACAATCATGCTGGATATCTATGCCGATATAGACTAAGTAATGTGTTAGAAACAAAAGAATTCAAGTGAAAAAATGAAACGATTTAGTCCATTTTACCAAAATTGCATTGCACCAACTCAAAATGGTTTGTGTGGCCTTGCCGAGACAACTGATGGTGACCTGGGAGATCTTGTCCCAGTTCTGGATCGGGGCATCACTGAGCTCCTAGACGGTCTGAGATGCAACCTGGTGGCGTTAGACGGACCGAACCAGGGGCCAGTCGAGGTATCAGTTCCTTCATCCTCCAGGATTTGCTGGCATACATGAGGCCGGGCAGGGTAGGGTCATGCATCTCATTCTGATACCTAATGGCAGTCATGTTGCCGTTGCCTAGCCTACCTAGTCTTTGTGTCACTCCAGGGACAACGTAACAGGCAGCAAAACCTTTTCCCTGGCTTCTCCAGACCCTTTCACATCTGTCACATGAACCTGCTCTGATCTGTGAAAAACACAGTTTGCCAGTGGTGGGCTGAGAATTCTGGTATTCTGTAAATCCTAATCTGGCACCACGGTGCTGGGCAGTGAGCACAGGGCGCACTAGAGGATGTCGGATCCTCACGCCACACTCATGTTGTCTGTTTCTGATTGCTTGGTCAGAGACATTCACATCAGTGATCTGCTGGAGGTCATTTTGTAGCTCTGGCAGTGCTACAAAAGGCACAAAGGAGCAGATACCTGTCCTGCTGATTGGTTAAGGACCTTCTACGGCCCTGTCCAGTACTCCTCGAGTAACTACCTGTCTCCAGAAATCTCCATGCTTCTGAGACAGTGCTGGGAGACACAGCAAACCTTCCGGCTATGGCACGTATTGATGCGCCATCCTGTAGGAGTTGGGCTACCCGTGCAACCTCTGTAGGGTCCGGGTATCACCTCATGCTACCAGTAGTGTAGTAGTGCACCTGTTGTTATTTCATTAACATCAAAGCAGCTGAAACTGATTAACAACCCCCTCTGATACTTAACTGACCAGATCTCAATATCTCACAAGTTTAAATGAGTCGATGCTACACTCTGATTAAAAAGTGTTCCTTTCATCTTTTTTCAGCAGTGTATTTCACAGCTTTAGTTACTGGGTATCTCACAGGCTCTACATACAAACACAAGGCAAACAAATATATAGATAGTATGTATTTTACTGCTAATGGATTCAGGTAGCGTAGGCGTGGACTCATGGGAAACATTTCATTGGATCAAATTTGGCCTGAAATGTTCGAATCTTAACTGTAATTTTATATGTGACGCAATACTTCTCACTGTACTATTCCTGCATTTCACCACCGTCTGTTTTTGATCCTTGCTTATTATCGTAAAGCTCAGTTCTTATTTTGCTCCTCCTATGCGTCTTTCTTCTCCGTGTGCCTCCTGTGTTCTCTTTTTCTGCATTTCACATTGTCTGAGTTTATTCTCGGTATCTCTGTTAGTGTTAGCTTCTTTTTTTTAAAGTTTACTTCCTCATGTGGTTTTCTGTTTTTACT